CTTGATGTCGAAGGATTCAAAACTTCACTGAGCAGAGCTGGCTGCCCCAGAGCTTTGAGCAGCCTGCTTTGAGGGTCAGTCCTGCCCCACCCTGCCTACACCTCTATTACAAAGCAGTGGTCTGCGGTGGTGCCAGATCCCCTTTATAATTTCCAGTCACCCAGTTTCAGCACCACCCCTGGAGGGAATGGCTCCAGTCTCAGTGGGAGAACAATTCAGGAACTTACTCTTTAGTTTCTTTACAGTAAAGGAGACTCTTAAGGTAGATAACAGTGTATGAGTTGTGTTTCTAGGTGTGAGAGTGAATCTGAGACTTGCCACAATGCACTGGCTCATTGTAAAGTAATTGTAATTATTGTCAGGGGTTCTAATTAAAATCCCAGATACCTGGAAAAAGTGCCTACTGACCTGTGTGGCGGTCTCAACAGCTTGTGGACCCTGCTTTCTCTACTATGGTAGGCAATAATCCCTTTTCTCTACTTCTGTACAAATGGTGAGTGGAGATCAGAGCTGAAAATAAATAGAATTTTAGGAGTTTAGACAAGGTCTCATTTAACCTTCCTCTTTTTACAGAGAGAAAAAGTAAAGCTAGAGGGGCCAGTAGCCTTCCCCAGGGTCATATAGCCAACGAAAGTCAAATACAGGATTAGAAACTGAATGCCAGCTCCCTTGGTTCTTAATTAATGCTGTTTTCACTGTGACACCACTTTAAGAAAAGTTATGTAAATTCAAGATGTTGTCATTCTTGCAAATAATCACTTGAAATATTCAGACATCACATCTCCCCAGCCCAATATAAATTTTTACTTAAATTATATAAAACATCTTACGGGGTTTACAGATATTGAAAATAAATTATTTAACTCAACTGTTTTAAAGAGTGATTTGTGACTTAGACCTTCCAAATATAATTTGTGTGGGTTAACAGAAATCTTAAGCAAGAAGAAAATTCATGAAAGAAAACAGATATATATTTCAAAATGGACATATTTAAAATACAGTTGTTAGACTATATTCTTTTTCAAAAATGTATTGAAAATCATTTATTTAGAAACTGGGTTAAAAAATTGTTTGGAATTTATTTTATCACCTGGCTCCTAAAATATTCATGGAATGTTTCCAGTGTTTTTTAGTGTTACTAGTCAGGGCTCTCCCCCTCCACCCTCCCCAACTCTTGAAATTATCTCTGGAGCTGAAAAATGTTGAAATGATTTGACTGTTTAAACAGTT